GTTTGATTGATATTGTCTCAGGTGGACGATGGAAAAGTGGGTTTTCTGAAGGTTTGTGAAGATGGAGTTATCTGTTTTTGCAAATTAACTCTTCATATACACAGTTGTTATGGATTAAGTAACATAGTAATGGATAGAAAATATTCAAATTACAAGAACTTAGATGCTGTTTATTATTTCTTCAGGAACAATATTCATCTGTTAATGGACATCATTTGTTTGTTTTTTTTGCACTAATTTTACTTTTCATACGTTCGGTTCATTTTGTTGATTAAACCTCCATTTTACTTGAACAACATTTTGAATGCACATTGTATTGAATGTAATGTATTTCTGCGTTGTGGTGTGTCTACTTTTGATTGAGTCAGTTGATCTAAATACTCCTTCCAGCACTGTGCTGTAGTGTTTGACTTGAAGGCCTCCAGGCCGAGGCAGTAAACATCATAATAATCACAGAATCCATCACGTCACACGTCTGTACACATGGCTGGCCGAGAGGACGATGAAGGGGAGGAAAGCTTGAAAGATCCAGGTACTACTGGGAGTAAAAATGGATGGGAAGGTAGATGAGAATAGGTGAAACAGATTGTGTGAGGTAAACTAGAGAGAAAATATAAGGTGGGAGAAAAGTCAAGGTGGAGGCAGCTCAGTTGAGGAGTTTTTCTGGGGCCCCAGAGGTTTTCTGCCTAATAAATCCTCAGCACATATTTAATCCAGTCGGCGGGACATGCCTGGCGAGAGTTAAAGGATGCACGCTTATTACTTACCTATCCAGATCTGAATGCGCTGCCATACCAAGACGTCCACAACCCCACCCCCAAACTCTACTCCCACAGCCTGTCCTCCATCCAGACTGCAGGCGCTACGGGCTATCAGACAATCGGAGCAGGAATGTGACTCCTGACAGACACATCTCTCAGGACCTCAGACTGAATATGTTCTCAATTAGCTCCATCTGATAAAGTGTGAGTGCAAGTGAAACCCAAGGCGGGCATGATCAATAGCACTTGACTCATTTTGTCAGATGGGCTTGACATTGACAGGCCGCACTGTGATTAATCGCCGTGGTGCAACAGATAATTGTCCCACCACATCTTCCTTTGTAGGTGTCGTTGGACTCTCAGTCATGTCTATGGTGCTTTGAATACGGTTCGTCACTTTCAGTTCATTTCTAATTAATCTCCTCTTGAGCTGGCATCCATATGAAAGCCAGCTTTCCCTTAATCTGCCTGTCAGTTATTTCACACATCACCCAGAAATTTCTCTCATGCATCACCCAAGGTACATGTATCTGGACCAGAAGTGCCATCTGCTGTTCACGCCGCACAGTGCACCGGAGTGAGGTCGATGTGTGGTGGTTGCTTCAGTGGGGTGAGCTGTTTGATAAAAACAAGCTGCAAGCCGCTGCGGTTTCATCCTCAGAAAGTCTCCTTGGTTTCCATGCGCGCACAGCTGGATGTTTTTAGGTTTACCCGTATGGGACTGCTGTGACATGGGCACTGGAGATGAAACAGGCCTCCCTCGGCACACAAACACACCACTACACTCCCGGCCTTGTGTACAGCTGGTAGGGATGACACAAGAGGCACAGGGCTTTATTGAGTCCTGCTGAGGCTGCTGTGCAAGTCAGCACAGTGCTCTGGCAAAGCTCAGCCTGCAGGGCAACACAGGAGAGTGGGCCGATGGAACGCAGGCCGCTTGGCCGACGCTGAGGGTCTCTGTAGGCCAGTGTGCTGTGTGTGGATGTTGTGAGATGAGACCTGCCCTCTGCTCAGCTCCAGTCTTATTAAACTCTGTGAACTTTCCTTAGAGCAGCAGATAAAGAGTACGACACCTTCACTTAACCCCGACTAGTTCTGTCTCTCACACTTGTTAGTTATCAAAATACATACTAAACATTGTTTGATCACCTTGATGCTTGATGCATTACTTCTGTTTTGGCTCTTACTAGGTTTGAAGTTTTGTAACAGGCTGGTCTTAGAAGGCTTAAAGGGGAGTTAAGAGTTAAAGGAATAGATCCATGTTATGGGAAATATACTTATTCGCTTTTTGGCAGAGAGTTAGACGAGAAGATGAACACTGCTCTCAAATCTGCACACTAAACGTGCTGCTAGATTGGAAAAATGGGGAAACACGTGGCCAAGCTCTGACCGAATGGCTTAAAAAAAACAGTTTCCAGCACTTCTGAAATCATCCAAATGCCAAAGTGTAAAAATGACAATTTACCATTTCACAGGGACTGTTGTGCCACAATATTTTGTGGCTGGGAGCAGCTGCCCAGCCACCAGCAGAGCTTCCAGCAACTTACCGCACCACTAGCTGAGGTAAAAGGGCTACTCACTGTAGACTGTATGTACAAATGGACACATCATCCATGGCATCACTCATAGGTTACCTGAGCAGTGGTTTTTCAGTTCAGTGTGGTTGTTACAGCTTGGCAGTAACTTCTCCTTACACCACACTAATTTAAAAATGAGCAAAGAGCTCAAGCTGGAGTGGAGTTGAGGTGAGCTGTGGATACGTCTCCGGGCCATAGACTGTCCTGAGCCAGCATTCATGTGTTTTCCAAAGCCGCCATGGCCTAATTATGCATACATTTAAGCCTTAACAACTATTTAAATAGGTGAGTTGTATAAAAAATTCACCCCTCATGCAATTGTCAGTTATGGGGGAATTTACTATAGAGACTAAAACCTCTTTTGTGTCAGGCTCCAAACAGGTTTATTTTTGCTGTAATGTTGGGCACTTTTACATGGGAGTCTGTAGGGATTTACTTGCTTTTAGAGCCAGCCTCAAGTGGTCATTCAAGGACCTGCATTTTTTGACACCTATGCATTGGCTTCATTTGCCTCTAACTGTTAATGCTAATAACAACTTCCCAAATGACATTTTGGCTAAATTAAATTCACACATGCATTTCTTCATGTGTTAACATAAAACACATGATTTCCTTCTTTGGTATAAAGATAATGCTTTATGCTCATGTCTGTGCTGTGTTACCTTCAGCAAACATGTAAGTTGAGTTTGCAGTAAAGCGCTATCGCCACAGTACTTGTCTATATGTTTGGTTTTGAAGCAATCACATATGAATACATGGGGGCTCTTTATACAAAGAGCTTTGAGATTTAAAGCACATTTCAGTAAAACACAAGGGTTAAGTGTCCCATGTCACCAGGATTGTAGATATTTTAGTCTACTTGGCTGCTGCCAAATTCTATTTGCTCATGTAGTTAAAATGTTATTTATCCACACATATCTTAAGCCTGGTGTTCAATATGGAGCTGATTTGTTGGTGAGACCACCGCATAGTAGTTTTTTTGTTTTTTTTTCTATACCGCCATTCCTCAAGCATTGCTTAATGCCACACTGAAGATTCTGAAGACCTCCAAATGAGCAAAGGCCCAGTATCCCTCTGTGTGCCTATACAGTATATTCCCATCTCTGTTGTGGGAAAACTCGTTAGTTTCCCCACAAGTATCTCTTTCAGCAGGAACATAATCTCAGCCTGGGTGGGTTTAGTCTGTTTCTTCATTCCTCCCTTGTCTATGAATAAACTACTGTCAGAGCCAGCTAATCATCTTGGAGCTTCTGTGCCCTGCCCTCTCCCTTTACCCACCTCTCCTCTTTTTCTTTCTCCTTTGTCTTTGTTGTAAATTGTTTCCCGATCACATTTTTCAACTACTTCTTAAAGTTAAAGCCGTTACTCTCACCCGCTAATGTGGTCAGGCGCCTTCATTCCCAACCTCACACGCAAGAGCTGTTCATGGACTCAATTATTGACGTTACGCCTGTAAAGATAACTGAGGATGGCAGGAGGCTGTTGGATGGCACTGGAGGAGCACGCCTCGTGGCCAGTTCAGAGTGAGTTGACAGCTGGCAGTCATGAAGAGGAGAGCAGAAACCCTCTGAGGCAGCTTTGAAGACAGACAGCGAAAGGAAAAAGAGACAGTGAATGTTGCAGCCCAAACATCATGACTTTATTAACAACTTCTGCTGTTTCTGTTGCTAGGATTCACTCTTTGCAAGACTTTTTTTTTTTTTTGTAAGAAGCAAAATACCATAATAGATGATAAATCAAGTTCTTATTTAACTGCGCTCCTTCTCTTGGCAAAAACCTGATACTTTACTGAGTTGTCCCCTCATTGGATGGTTGGAATTTATAGATCTTTTAGTGACCTCTTGTGGCTAAAAACAGACCCGTATTTAGCTTTCATTATTTTCTCCCACTCGCAAGCTAAAGAATTAACCCTAATTATTAAAGTTTTGGAAATTTCTGGAGAGACTGCGTAAAATATTTTGTGCATGATGAGTAATATTCAATCAGAGGCAATATCTAGAGTTTATCTAGATGATTTTAGTGAACTGTTTAGATTTGATTTAATCATTTACTAGGATATATTATACCTTTACTTTAATTGTATTATTCAAGGAAGCACAAAAAAAAATGGAATTGATTTTGTTTATAATTGTTCTCCATCAATCTTTTTCCACACAATTTTCCTCGTCGTTTGTCTAAAGCTGCAGCAAAATGAATTTCCTAAACCCATAAAGTTTTCGATTTCAGACAATTGTTACTGCAGAATATTATTTCTACTATTGTAATACGTTATAGACTGAACAATGCCAAGATGTACCATTAATCTCTGATCTCAGCTACTTCTCCTCAGAGCACAAGTGTTGGTGTGATAAATCAAGTAGTGACTTGAAAGCTGCTCTTAAAGGTCAGTCTTTTACCTCACTGTAATAGTTAAATAGTTTTTTTTTTAAATGTGTCTTATTGCAGATGCACAGTACTGAACTTGGCTCTTTTAGACATTCAGTGTAATTTTTTACAATGTAGAACACTTAAGAAAACACCACACTATACTGAGGTGCTTGGTAATTACTGTTAATCTCTGAAATACATTGCCACATTATCTTTCTCTAAGTCATATATTTATAACTGTCCATTTAGACAGACTTTTTCTTTGTGACTCCCAAAAAGACACTCGTGCCAAAGATTGTCAGTGTTTCTCTAAATTGTCATTTATTAAATAAACTGACAGGCAAATATCCAAAAAGCCGCAGGTACATGTCCAAAGAGTTGTTAAAATGACAAGAGACACTGGAAACTTCTTCAAAGTCAGTAAAATAAGTATTGCATGGGCTACCTCCACCACAGGAGGGCGCCACCAGTTCAACCTGGCAATACAGAACAATCATTCTGATCGGGACTTTTTAAAATGGATACTGTTTTCCATTTTTGATATGAAAATATGGTAATGTGTCCATTTACACATTCATAATTTCCTAATAAATTGTCACTGCTTTCCCAGAGAAGTCTCCTGGATAATCATGTAGGATACAGAGACAGGTGGTAAACATCTAATTTAAAAATTCCAGTTAATTCCCAACTTAAAGAGACAGTCAGCAGGTCAGCTCAACATTTCAATGTGAAACTTGTTTGCAGGCAAACAACACTTCAACATATATAAAGAAAATGACATTCCAGTGAGGAATAAAGAAAGCATTAATATCTAGATATACGTGGATGGGTTCCTTTAACAAAGTTCACATTTTTCTCATAATTAGTAATAGGAAAGTATTACAGACACATAAATGTATAGTTACTGATCTTATAGAACATTTCAGACCAGACTGAGGTGATGCAGCCAGTGTGTGAGAAACTTGACAAAGGTTTACTTTTGGTTCATTTCTAAAATTCCAATGTATAACAAATGACTTATATTGCATGTGTAGGTATTTAAGAATTTTTTGCTTTTAAGAATGAAGCCTTAGATGCAAACCTATCTGTTATTGCTGGTGCAGTCTTCAATAGCAGGGAGAACTGCAGAGACCTAGCCTGTCCTTTTATGTTAAAATGATTCCATATGAATTTCAGATGCACGATAACCCCTGCGCAGGCGTTACAGTCTGTTAATCAGTGGTCCGTTCCCTTTAAAGCCAGTGGGGGAAAAGGCAGCTCCATTGTCTTGAGCAAGAGATTCACCTAAACCATATTGTTATTGTTGAGCTTGGTCCACTCAAAGATGTCCTGCTCGCACACAATGTCAGAGTTGATGAGAAGGTAGCGATCACCCACACAGAAGTGCTTCTGGCAGGCTGCACACTTGAAACACTCCAGATGGTAAACCTTGTCCCGCACACGCATTGTCATCTCAAACGCTCGGATCCTCTTTTCACAGGAAGCACAGAGACCGTCCTGACCGAACAGCCTGAGTGGATGAGAGAGAGCATCGGCACGTTACTCAGAGGAACATTCACCTCTTCTTAATGGCATTAATCTGTAAGAGGAACCATCTCCATTACACTACTGTGTGGCTTCCCCTGACCCTTTTAACTGCCTCACAACTTCTGGTCCCAGAGTTTCTATGCTGCAGTTGGCAACTTAATTAATTTTATTTTGAAAAGTGTGGGTATACTATTATTTATAGTAATACATGTCTTTAAAAGTCCTCTCCTCTAAAATGACTGAAATGTAACTTTACAATGATGCCAGCCTCTCTCTACAGCCACAACCTCCACACTGACTGCAGCTCAGCACACCAGCTCACCTACGACTCTGCTCAAACGCTGTATAACTACTCTACACTTCACAATGGCAAGTCATAATATTGAAGTTATTCAGTTTCACGCACCAAGCTGACAGAATTGGTTACCTAGATTTGTTATGTATGAAACCCTTGAAGTATGAATCTGTGTTTTTGAGACTGTTATCAGTACACTGCAAGTGGAAAGTCATGGTGTTGGCTGCTTATTTCACTCATGATATGTCTTCCAGAATTTAAAAAAATTACGTGGACATATCGACGAGGTAAAAATTAGATTTTTACTGGAGGTGGTCTTTAACATTTTGACACCAAAACCTTTTATATGACAGAACCACAGGATTATGCACCAAAACAGGGCTGCCATTGTTGGTAGTGTACTTTTGCAGTGTAAATACCATGTACAGAGTTTATTTGCAAAAATAGATAACTCCATCTTCACAGATAATCCACTTTTCCATTGTCTACCTGAGAGAATATCAATCAAACTTAAGTTGTCTCTATTTTTGTCACGTTATTTCTGCTTAGTCAAATCCGCTCAACTTGAGTTTGATTGATATTATCTCAAGCAAACAATGAAAAATACGTTTTTTTAAAAATCTACAAAAATTGAATTATCTGTTTTTGCAAATGAACTCTTCATGTGAAAAAATAAACTTCTTCTCCTGTATCTTTGCATCTACGAGGTGTGTCAGAAAAGTTCCAGGACTGGTGTCACAAAATATATTTCAAACCCAAGCTACAAACTAGGAGTTTTCCCCTTCAGATGATCAACCAGCACGTCTACAAAGAGATCCTGTGGCATTTGCTTCATTCAGTGAGCGAGAAGAGGCGAGAGTTGTGTTAGGACAAGTCGTAGCTGCTTCACCATGACAACACGCCTGCTCACAATGCCCTGAGCATCCGACAGTTCCTGGCTGAGAAGAACATCGCCGTGCTGGAGCAACCTCCCTACTCACCCCACCTGGCTCCGTGGGATTTTTTCTTCTTCCCCAAGCTCAAGGGGGTCATCAAGGGGACCCGTTTAGAAGACATGAACGACATCAAGATGGCTGTGACGACGGAACTGAGGAGCATCCTGGAAGAACCCTTCCAGGAATGCATGGCGGCGTGACAGAGAAGGCTGGGAAAGTGTGTTAGACTCCAGGGGGGTGACTTCAAAGGGGAAAACTTCTAGTTTGTAGTTTGGGTTTGAAACATATCTTTTGTGACACCAGTCCTGAAACTTTTCTGACACACCCCGTATAGCTTCATTTTCCTAACTATAAAATTTTTAAAAATGTCCAGCAGGAAGTCAGAAAAAAAAATGCCCAAACTGGGTTTACTTGTCCTTTGAAAGCATAAAAATGCACTTCTTTGTTTTCTTATTCTTTCTTCTTTGTTCTTTTGTTATATATATTATTTATTTATTTTATTTTTTTTAATCTGTCATATGAAAAAATGCTGTTTCTCAAAATCATATATAAGATTCTATATTAGTTTGATTGATAAAAACCAACAATGTGTTGGTCCATTTCTCTCTACTCTGTTTGTAGCACTCACTCCCAGATTATTGGTATTTTTAAATCAGTCGACAGTGAATTTAATTTACTCACACAGGAGTTAATTTGTTGGGGACTATTTTCAACTGCAGGTTAATATGCTTTTGTGCCAGTATTTGTGAGTCAATCCAACATACAGTTATGACACTGAAACATGCTGCCCAGTGTTTGGTGATGAGACGAGTTAACAATCTGCTTGATTAATTAAATGATGTAACAAAATTACACTAAAAACACCTACCTGAGGTAATCTCTCCGACATAATTTCCTTCCCAGCTTGTAGTAGAGCCGGCGGCCCACCTCCCCCAGCCGGCAGCCGCACAGGTCGCAACTCAGGCAGTCCTCGTGCCAGTACTGCTCGATGGCCTTCAGGAAGAATCTGTCTCCGATGCTCTGCTGACAGCCGCCACACGTCAGCAGAGACGGCGGCATCTGGAGGACCTCATCCACCGGCTCCCTTCAGAGGAAAAACACAACTGGTTAGAAGACTGCAGGGCTGCAACGAATTACTGATTTCATTATTAGTTCATTTGCTGGTTTTTGATCAGTTGTTTGGTATATATGCTGTCCGACAGCAGTGACCCCGAGTGGTGTCTTTGATTGAGTGACTCATTTTTTTTCCAACCAGTACAGCTGGTTTTCAGTTTTCCCTCATTTTTTTTTATCATTCTATGTAGATCACATATTTGATTTATTGTTCCAGCTGTAAGATCTTTTCAGTTACCTGCTGGTATGATGCTGTATTGAAAAAGTTATATTTTCTTTGAATAAAATCTAGATTCCTAAAATAATTCCCACTGGCATGTGTTGATAGTTAGGGTTTAATGCTCCTGATTCTTGTAGCTGTCTATTTACTCATTTTTTTTTTTTTTTTTTTTGGCTTTATTTTAAAAAGAAAAAAAAATCTGTCAGTTTTTCTCTGTCTTTGATGTGCAGCTACAACTGTGCTGTGTTCCTGTCCACCTGAGGGAGCCCTTGGATAATGTTAAATAAAGCCCTGGATGCACATAACGGTGAGGATACTTTAATAAATAAAAATGTCATATACTTTATGTGACACCCTCCACATTTTAAACTAAATCAACAGGGAGCTGATTGACACTTGGGCAGCTTCACCTCTGTGTCACTTCACTTGTTTTGGGGGAAACTTTTTCCTCTCAGGTGCTCATTTGTTCTCCCCTTTTTTACATTTAAGTATGAGTCTACTCTTAGACATGAATTTGAATATTTTCTACCAAACAGCAGAAGACTTCTGACCCTTTGCTCTCAGTTTCATGCAGCTGTTCCACATGGGATAGTTTGGCTTTCATATCACTGATGGTGCGTCCTTGGATGTCTAAGAAATGAACAAGTTATGTACTCACTCATTGGCCTCCAGCGTCTTCCTCTCTATAGTGGATGTCATTCTTACAATGTGAGGTCCGGTCGGATCCAGATTAGATATTCGAGTCCGGAGCCAGCAGATCAGCGGATACCTGTGAAGCTGCCTGCGGACAGACGCGCTGCACCTGCTCCAGCACTCTCCAACCTGCCGCCTACAGCCTTTTTTTTCTGTGTGAGTGTGTTGAATCAAAAAGGCAACTGAGTCCAGTCGAAATGGCCGCAAGAGGAGAAATGTGCGCTCCGAGCTGCTAAGCGATGATGGAGGACACTGTCATCATTTCCTGAGGCAGCAAACCCAGTGGCAGTGACACTTCCAATGTGTGTGTTTTCTCATCCCGCGGCGACTTCACCTGACTGTCCGCTGCTCTGTTCAATCCGGACACCGTCGATCCGATCAGAAGGTCACTTGCGCGGATCTCCGCGTCCGTGCGTCTCTTTTTTCCAAACTGCGCTCCTCTCCTCCACACGAAGCGCCGTTATTGTGCGGCAGCATCGTGTTTAAATACGTCGGGGCCCCCTCGGCGTCTGCTTTCGTTTCCCTCTTCCTGCTCACGACTGTTTGACAATGGGGGGAAATCGGTCTTAAAGCGACAGCTAAACAGCGCGCAGGCTGCTCGGCCGGGCGCGCAGCTCGGTCGTGACTGAGACTAATGACTTCATTATAGGCTGCGCCTCGCCAAAGTGCCGATTGGACCCGAGATAAAGAGTGGCGCGATATAATTAGCTCAGGACTTGTGAGTTTTCTCTGATAATTAAGCTACAGCAGCCTCATTACACCCTGTATGAAAAGGAGGGTGTTGTGTCATCATTTCTACAGGGTTTTTGGAACCAGTCGTTTTGACCTTTGACTTAATTACGAGGCAATAAAGCATTTATTCATGTTTTATAGATCAATTACAAGACATTATTGTAAAACTGAACAAAAATGGTTAAAAATCACTCATTTTGGTGAGAAGTTGTGCATTTAACCCTGTTGTACAAGTACAACTTTAGGAGATTTTACATCTGAATGGTTCAATAAGATCAGATCAGATTAGATTCAACTTTAATGCCATTGCACAGAGTACAAGTAGTAAGACATTGAAATGCAGTTTAACATCCAACTAGAAGTACAAAACGAGCAGTGCAATGTAAAATGCTGAAGTGGAACAGCTTTAAGAGCAATATGACTCTGTTAAGGTATACAGAGTATGAACAGCATAAACAGTGCATGTAAGAATGCAAGATGTACAAGTAATATATACAGTACATACATTATAGGAATATACAGTAAACTGTTTTCTGTTACTGCTACTTTATTCTTCTTCCCCACTATAATACAGGGATAAATACTGTGCTTTCTTTTGACTTGATTATATTAATTTGAAAGTCATAACGACTAGTTAGTTTGATATTACTTCCAAATATATTATTAGGGTTTCAGCACTTTTTATACACACTAAAGTTCCCTTTCATTGGGAGGTAAGACCTTTTCAGACAATTAGAGAAGTCCCTAAGCTACCTGAAAAATATAGATTTTTAATTTTGTTGCATAAAATCCTAACCCGTGTGCACAAACTACTATCTTGCACATGAGAGATTAAATACAATGCAATCACCAATTTTACTCCATTGAATTTGTTATTCATTAAAAAAAAAGTTTTTTAATAGAAAATATTTTTATTTTACTTATTTTTTTATTGTCTCATTGGATAGTCGAAGCTATATCATTGCATTCTAAACTGATCATGTGTTAAATCGCTCAAACTAGTAACTACAGTTTTCAGGCAAATGTAGTGAAGTTAAAAGTACATTTTTTGCCTCTGAGATTTAGTTGACTACAGGCTGAAATTACAAAGGAAACACTTCTAGTTTCTCCTACATACATATTTGTCTTCTTTACAGAGTCCCTGGATAACTTGCTATACCAAGACATATTTCAAAGTAAGTTCCTTTGAAGGTTGTCTCCGTGAGGAATGAATGCAGTGATATTTCTACATAGTTGGTGTCTTCACAGCCTTTCCTTTTCAAACCGACGCTGCTGTGGGCCCTTCTCTTATCTACTGCCAGTGCTTCAGGGCTGCCTGCAGGAGGGAGGGACACAGACAACAGTTGGACTGGGCAGCGAGATAAAGCACCTCAACTCCAGCAGCCAGAGTCAGCTCCTCCGCCAGATGTAACGGAGGAAGATCGCAGGCAAACTCTAGATGTAGGCTGGAAGCGTCCCTGGGCTACACAATTGTTGGACTGTGTAGATACCAAGCTGAGCAGGCCCAGGAGCAAGGTGAGCATGGCAGTGCTGTGTGCCAGCTACACAGAAAGCAGAGCAGCTTGACAGAGATAAAACTCAAGCTGAAAATCCATCAAATGGAAACCATTTTTAGCATGAGATTTCTGCCTACTGCCTTTGTACAACACAGAAGTATTGTGCAGGAGACACTTAGTCTTCACTAAATAAGAACATCACACATTTAAAGCCTAATAAACACCTTTAATATCCTTCAGCTAATTCGTAAAAACAATGTCAGCACCACAGCAGCCGATCTGCAGCTTCTCATATTGAAGGTTAGCCCAGTTGTCATGGAAATGTAGATTTTCAAGTTTTCATTTTCTAAACACATTAATGACTTGACATCCAAAGTCTGTGGGGGGCAAAAGATCACAAAGTAAAGCACTGCTGTGATTACATACATTTGTCTGTATTGTAAGTTTCTACATTCAGTAGCCCACGTTACAGTTACTAATCACTTCTAGCTTTAATTTGAGGAAGTATAGCCACCTGGCAGAGCCAACTTGATTCTCTTAAACATGCCACTGAGCCTTGCTCTTGCTATGACATGTTTGCGTGAGGTGCTCTTTAGGTAGGTTTTCACCAACGTTGCTGTGGGATTTGAGGTAACAGCTGACTAAAGAACATAACCGAAAGATCTTGTGTATCTCCTACTTATTGGGATTGAAATTTGTGCTGATATGTGGGTAAATAACTGTCAATTACATGACTAGCATCTCAGGCGGTGCTGTTTGGTGACACAATGAGTCGTGTAGGTAATTACTTTCTACAGGGAGGAAATAGTTGAAGTAATGCATTACTTCTTCAAATAGTAATAATTTCTGTGATAAAGTACTTGAAATTTTAACACCGGTGATAATCTCCACATTTCAGCAATAAATACAATTTATTGAGGATCTGTTGGTTGTAGTTATTGCAAACAGCTGTTTTCGAGGTCAGTGATGAACTTTGAATGCCAAAAAGTTTCAAACTCTTGCGCATAGCTGTTTTCTTTAAAATTCAGTCAGATATATTTGGCATAATTAAACATTACTCAACAGAAAAACTCAATTGTTTGCACAACAAGCCTCTATAATGATGGATCAAAAAAGGGAATTCAAGATTTTGAGGGTCCTAATCAATACCACACAAGGATATACATTAAAAAAACAACATGTGACAGATGAGACACAAGAAGAGAGAAAGTCATTACTGACGTTGCACAAGTCATCCACCTCTTCCTGTGGAGTTGACTGAGAAAGCCCAGAGGATGTGCAACTGGCATGCAGAGATGGAGCTTTCCTGGGGGGTTGGTGCACATCACATTCACTTCCTACCCCCCTCCATGCGTGATGGCACCCTTCTCATGGCTTCCCAGATACGGGTCGACTCCAGATGGTTCAGCATGATAGAAGACGCAAGGCTCACGGCGCAACATAAAAATTCTAGCATGCTGTCATTAAGCGGTAAAACCCTTATCTGTGTTTTTAAAGCTTCCTAAATGTCATCAGAAAGGAGATGCACTCTACTTGACATCAGTGTGTCTCTACAATAGGAATGGGGGAGTTTCAGGTTTCGTGTCTTAATTTAATTTTACAACATTTTAGGTAAGATAAATCTTTCCTGCCACGTTGAAGTCAACATTTTCAGCTTGTATTCTTGTCTGAGGTTGGACTTGGGAAGCAAACAGTTAAAACTGCCGACAACCTTGAAGGAAGTGGTGTCACTCATGTACAGCTTCCTGTTTTGCCTGTTTGGTACTGAGAGCATTATGGAGCTGAAAGCTGTGTGGAATTTCAGGACAGCTGGAAAAATCGTCAGCACTAAGCAAACAATTCAACAAACAACATGAGTTGATACCAAGTTCCATTACCAAATGGCAAAAATATTCCAAGGCTGCTATCGATATGCAACTAATGGCCCAATTTAACCTCAACTTGTAAAATCATTGGGTGTTTTCTTCTAGTTAGACGTGGAACAATGATGGCTATCCATTTATCACCCACAGACACATGCTTGCAGGCCCATTTCCTGAAACAAGGGACTCTGGACATTGTGTTGACTCTGTGATAGCACAAACTCTGGAACAGCAACAGCAAAACTGACCGTTTCCTGCCAAACTGAAGTGAAATGATAACTGGCGACTGTGTCAGAGCCCTCCTCCTGAGCTACCACTGGCCAAGAAATGTCATATTGTTGACAAGCTTTGCTTTTGACCTTGAAAAACTTGTTGTAAAGGTCAAAGGTCAGATGAAGACCCACCCTGGAAATTTTCTCGAAAATGGCTGCTGCTTGATTGGAACACAGCAGGCTGCGGAAATGAGTCACTCGTTGAAAGGGAGCTTCACTTACCCTCGGGATCCTCCCATAATCAGTATTATCCCGTAAAGAAAACACCTTCAGTGGAACAGTGCAATCAAAGAGCTGTGCAGCCATGTTAACTGCTTCCTGTATTTGGCAAAACAAAAGAAAGCAGGTTACACATTCTTTTGAGAAATCCTGTGGTCAGTTTGTTCCCCTTTAGCTACTCATGTAAACTGTTCAAGGGTGAAGTAAAAACAGAAGAACATACATGAGCAGCTCTTGGGTCTCAGACCAGTTTGCTAATCAGACAGCTCAGCTGTATTCAGGCTGAGCTGGTCTCATTTTCATCTGTGTTTTGGTTGTAGAATGAGAAACTTTAATAAGTATTAAAACTTAGGTTCAGTCATTTTGTTTAAAATAGGTCCATGTATTCCTATGTCAGAGGAGACTCATAAATTAGAACTTTTTTTTGTCAAGTCAGTTGTCGGTGTTTTGTTGCTGATCTTACTGCTGAGCTTTACTGCCACCTACTGATGTAAGAAACACAAACAACTTTGGATTGAAGCAGCGTTGATGTGATCTCTGGACCACGTGAATATTTCCCTTTACTTCAGTTCTTGTTAAGCTTGTTATGTAATATATTTATTTAGCACATTCTCAATTTGGGGAACATTATAGATGCAATGTTAAATTGTATAAAAAGTTAATTACAATTCAAGGTGAGTCAGGGCAACACAGCTGCATGAGATACATAAGGGTTGGTGGTTGTAGAACTGTATGTGGTATGTCCTAAATGTGAAAAATTATTGAGATCAGGTTTTGTCTTTTAGATTTTTTTTTAAATATAATGAAATATAATGCAAACAAATTCTGCATATTTCACTATTAAGTGTTGCATATTTCCTGGATACAAGGCTGCACAATTGTAGATCACATATAGTATGTATACAGCATACTCATACACATCTGTTTTACTGCTTTTGTTATAGATGCTGTTTGTGTTACTCTAGTACAGACTAGGGGTATTGTGATATAACAGTATTGATATTATTGATAAGTGTGATAATAAAAAAAAATGAATTTTTGATGTCATGTTTTATTACACATATGATCATAATGTGAACAATCTGGCAGCAGTGACTGTCTGGTTGACACTCCAATGTAATCGGTGGTTTCAGCTGACATTGTATTGATTGCAGATGTTTGGCCTTGTGGATCTTATGTTTATCACCTCATCTGGTTGCCTTTTCACTATCCATTAATTGTGATTATTCCTTTTGTACACTTTCCTACAGTTATGATTACAGACTCTGTCTCCATACCCCTGCACTTGTATATTGAATGTAAATCATTTACCATGAAAGAGATAAAACACACAACAGACATAGCTGAAGATAGTAGATAGCTTTTTTTTATTATTAATTTTTTAAATTTCCTATTAAGAATTCTTTTGGACATCAGAATCAGAATCATACATCAAAAGTCTGATTTTGTAACAGCTATTGTACATATGCCATGTTTATGTAGTAATATGTTCACTTTCACACCTATGACACAGATTTACAGGGTTGGGCTTTTATCTTCTCATCCGGCATTGACATTCAAATGTGCAACCTGGCAATAGTCATCTCACTTTCTTCTTTAAGAAAGACAGAAAAAGAGAATCAATTGTATTACTAAGGAGATTTTCACATACAAAGCTTTTGACTTTGTGTTTGACACATAACAGTACACACAATGTAAATCAGGAGTCTGGGACTGTGTTGATGAGGCCCGCTGCTGTTAGGGAAAAGTTGTTCTGGTGGTATGAAGCTCTGGTCCTTTATCTTGGTTTAGAGAAATAGAGAAAAAGACTACATTTCATTGTGTGTGTGTGTGTGTGTGTGTGTGTGTGTGTGTGTGTGTGTGTGTGTTTCCTCAAAGTGAAAACTAAATTGTCCTGAAATAACCTAAGGGTAACTCTGTCCTCAGGTAAAGACCACAGGATGCGTTGAAAGTCTTGGGAAAAGATTAAATTAGTTTATTTATTAATACATACTTTTTTTTTTATTACATAGAAGTTATTATTAATATGATTTTTGTTGTTGCTAGTTGTTTACGATATAACATTTCATATTTTTCAAAGTAAAAAATAAATACAAGTTTAACTTAAATTGAACTTCTAAAGATCTCACAGTCTAGTCACAGTCAGCTCAGACATGCTTAAATACCCACTTCAACATTGAACTTGAACTTCAAAGTGCTGCAAAAGATTGCAGCCATTTATTGCCATAAGTGATGGTTTTTGTGATGACACAGGTGTGAACCAACACATGGCAGGGCTTACAGTGATGTGGGACAGCTGCTGCAGAAACACACTGTATATGGGAGAAGGATAGACAGGATAGCCTAATCAAAGCTAATGATTGTGCAGATTTTCTGCCAAGAGGCTGTACAAAATTATGCCTGACCATAAATAGCAACGTAAAAATGCTAAATTGTTGGAAGTCTGCTTAGTTGTTAAACATTTGAAGTAGAACTTTTGAGTGATGAATGTAAATATTGTTAGAATTACAGTAATGATTATTTATGGCCTGTTTCTGTAGTTTATTTACTCAGGCAGATCTTAGACAGCTGAAAACGGACCTTCGCCTTTATAAAGAGTTTCTTCGTCTTTCGAACCGTCTCAGTTGTCGGTGAGGCCGGCGGGGCGGATCCCACACTAGAGTGAAAGAGAAAATAAAGCAACACAACAATAGTAACAACTCGGCCTTTTCGTACAATTCGCTAGCAAGCTCCCCAGTGGATATATAACATCAAGGTGGGTGATTCCGGAGTCGTGCTGTCCAGGTAACGGGTCTCCCGGCCGGCTATTGGCTCGCACGCGTCGGTGTAGCTATCAGACGAGCGAGCTAGCCGTGCGCGAGGATGCTAAGTCAACGGTCTGTGCTAACGGTAGTGCGGCCAAGGCCATTTTACCAAACCGAGAGACACACCGGCGAACCGGCCACACTACTGGGCCGAGCCGGGGCCACAGAGCCGGTAGCAGGAGGTACAGATTTATAGCTCGAGTAATAGTGGAAATATTTTGACGCGGAGATAAAAAGGGTTTGAAAACGTGCTCACTTCAGTTCGCACTCAGTTTGGACTAAAGTTAGCCAGATGCTATGAAAGAATAGTTTTATGGCTCATGGATATTATCTGACTGGAACAGGTATTGTATAACCAAATTGTAACTACACTATGTTTCCGCATTGTGTACACCTCAACACCTGTGGTACATAGCTGCACTGTGTTTCTTGTGCTGGTAAATGACTACTCAGCCGCTCACACCTCTGTCGATGTTTCACATGTCACTAGTGACAAGTTTTACTTTTGTATGGGAAAATATGTGACTGTGAGAAGTCAGTTTTATTTCTGTAGCGCCAAGTGACTTTGCAGTCTGTACAGCAGAGAGTACATCTGTCCTCAGACCCTCGATTTGGAAAAGGGAAAAACTCTTCCAAAAGTCTTAAGTTAATCTTTCCGAAAGATCTATCAGTAATCACTTGATCTAGAGCCACTGTAGCGTATAATCTGATGATGTGCCATGTAGCGGTGACATAGTTATTACATTCATTTGATTTGTTCCACTGAAACTTCCAGAAACAGTTTTGGTAAACACTTTGAGTCTTTGTCGACGCAAAAGCAAAACAATTGAACTTTTTTTCTTGCCGTATGTGAACTTCTGCTGGTTCAGTTTCAGACTCTATGATCTGACAGCAAACCTTCAGTGTTTGGACAGTTGTTTTTTTAAAACTATTACCATATTTAGAATCAGTGCACTTTGCTGCTTGAAATGCATTGGAATTACTTTTACATAAGGTAACATGAGGCCAGGGATTGCTGTGGCATTAATAGCTGAGTCAGGGGCCTGCTGTGGCTGAATTAGAGCAATATGTAATGACGCTGATGTGGAAACTTTATCTGCTCTGATACTGACTCACGGATCTAGTCAGTGCATTTTCGCACAGATTATAGTCCAAATGATTAATTTCACTCAGGTAATTTACATGACATAATTAGTTATTATTAATGAAGACAAGCATTAGCTGTAGCCCTAATCTCATGGCACAGCCCCCAGTGGTCACTGTCTAGCAGTTACTGTCTTTATATGGTAAAAATAATTTTGACAAGTTTCAGCACATACTGATGAGCATTTTTCACTTAATCTTTTTGATTGTGAATTTGTATAACTTTCATTGATCAAAGCATCTCTTTAGTATCACCAAAAGTAAACTTTCACACTTTGATTTCTAGATGCCCTCAGCAATGAATGCAAATAGGACAGTGCAATCTGCCAGCCCAGATGTGGGATCCGCTCCAGGGTCAATGGGCAATTTTTCACTCGGTGGACAGTCTGAAGTCTTGAAGCAAGTGCTGTGTGTTATCGACAAGAAGGTCCGCAACATGGAAAAGAAAAAGGTGAAGACTTTAGAAAGCCATTTTTTCCAGATCCCCTTCCCGATAATACCATGCAGCTAAACCTCTTACTTTGAAGCAGTTGATACCTGAAATGCCCTAAGTAAACTGCATCCCTGACAACAAGAATTTCTTTGCTTAATGTGTTAAGATTTGGAACTATTTTGTTTCTTGAATATTCTGTTACAGAGCAAACTGGATGATTATCAAGTCAGGAAGGATAAAGGGGAGGGTCTCAACCAGGACCAGCTGGTGAGTACACAAAAGTGTTCATGATCCTGCACACATGATCGTGTAATTCTTAGACAGATTTTACAACCTAGCAATGTGTGAAATATCTGTTTCTCCTTCATCTTTTTAGGAAGCCCTCTCCAAATACCAGGAAGTCATGAATAACTTGGAGTTCGCCCGAGAGTTGCAGAAGACGTTTATTGCTTTGGGACAAGATGTAAGGATGACACTGGTTTTGTAAAAATGTTCCGTCAGATTTGTGTCCATCTTGGCTTGTACAAACTTGGCTTAATGTTGCTCGTTTATCTGTTCATCAGATCCAGAAGGTGGTGAAGAAGTCTGCACGGCGGGAGCAGCTGCAGCGGGAGGAGGCAGAGCAGAGAAGGCTGAAGACAGTTCTGGAACTGCAGTTCCTCCTGGACCGGCTGGGCGATGACACTGTGCGACAGGACCTGAAACAGGGAGTCGGCGGCACACCGCTGCTGACAGATGGAGACCTCGCAGCTTTCGATGAGTTCTACAAGTTAGTGGGGCCAGACCGTGACCAAAACGTCAGGTTAGTCTAAGTTGATGTCTGGATCAAGTACAGATAAAATATATATATATATATATATGTATTTATCAGTTTTTAACAGTGGGATCCCAACACATTGTCATTACACCCACAGGTTGGCTGACCAGTATGACGATGCGTCTGTGCACCTCTGGGACCTGCTAGAAGGGAGGGACAAGGCTGTGGTTGGAACAACATGTAAGGCAAATTTTCCATCTTGATGATTTCACGCTGCAGAAATCAATATCAGAGGATTTGTATACTTGGTTCTTTGTTTTAGCTAATTATCTTATGTAAAAACTTACCAAGGTTGGATACTAATATCGTTAGCCAGTCAACAGAAAAATAACCTGCTTTATTTGATAATTAGTTCAACAATGAAGTCATTTTTTAAGCAATGAGTTCTGAAAATTCAATAGTTCTGTCTTGAAAAATGTGAATCTTTGTTGGTTTGTAGTCTTTGAATCAGAATCAGAATCAGAATCAGAATCAGTTTTATTGCCAAGTAATTTTTACATCACCAGGAATTTGACTTGGTCCATTGGTGCAAAGAAGCAGAAGAAAATATATTTATATACATATATATACACTTGCTTATGATGATACTAAACTGAATATCATTGGGTTTTTGATTTTTGATCTGCAAAACAAGAGACTTGTAGATGTTGGCTTGGACTATGTGAAACGATGATGGTCATTTGTTGCTATTTACTCACTTTTTTTTAGGCAAATGGCAATGTAGTGTTTCATGGAGAAAATAGCTGGCAAAACAATCAATATCAAAAATAGTTTTTTGCTACAACTGTACTGCAATTTACAGAAAAATAAAGTTTATATAAAAGGCGATTCATTATTCAAGACAAACTGGCTTTATTTAGATGCCCAGCTGGTGGTGAAAATTGTTGGCAGGACATTTTATCAGATGGTTGGTGACACAGCAGTCATCAGCAAGCTTTGTATCATGTTGAAGCTGGCCATAAGTAATCTGTCACATACTTTTGATTAATCCCAAGGCAAAGTAGATAGAGATGGCAAAAGCTTTAAACAATATTTTCTTGTCAAAAGATGCTGCGGCCTTTAGCCAGTCTTAATATGTTAATGTAAAATGTGCATTGTGTTTTGTTAATGCAGCATGCATGCAGTGCTGTGATGTGAATAATCAGGGCTTGGGGATATTGGAGTACTGCATTCTCAGCGGTCTGGCCTCGGGCTTCGCACTGCTGCATTCTGCTCAGGGGCTGAGAGCTGTGGGCTTATCCTGACTCAGCAGTGAGGCAGGGTGCCAGTGGCCCTGTCGCCTGTGGTTCCACTGGTCAGATCTCTGGAGCCACATTAGGATACTGGTGACCCAGTTCACTGTTGTGACACCAGTCAACCCTGTCACCTCAATAAGGAGGTCTCATTTTGGGAACCACAGTGATATTTATTCAGGCAGCAACAGACCTCTTGACCTGAGGCATAAGAAAGTGAAGGAAATAGCAATGAGCTTCTTGGTCTAAAAAAGCCAAAAGTGACAAAAGGACTTTTCTAGCAAATTCTATGTCATGATTGTGACATTACCAGATTTCAAATCTGATTGGTCATCATTTAAACTTTAGGCATTTATTTTGAGACTTCAAGGTGGACATTTCAATTTGCTGTGTTACAGGCATGTTGAGTTTGGGACCAAATAAAAGCTGTGTATTTGTAATTGGTTCAATTTCTGCACAAGATGCAGAAAGTAGTCATATTTGAGAGGCTGTCATCAGTAATAATTATGGCATATGTTACTTTAGAGATTACTTTAAATAACTCACTAATAAAATGGTTGTCATTTGAGTTTTGTTTGGTGACATTTAGCAGCATTGGTGCATTTCACAGTTAAAAAAATACCTGTTGAGACTTTAGTTCAAGTATAAAGATGGTATGATTGTTTTCGTGAGTACTCTAGCACGCATTTTACAAGTTAACATGTAAAATCCTTGTTTGGTGCATCAGAAGTATTCCGCACAAAGGGATCTGCAAATATTTACAGCTCATGAAATACTTTTTTGATAATTGTGACCTTGTCAATATGATGGTTGAATGTGTGCTTTCGTGTCGTGACTTTCCAATAATATGCTGACCATGTTATTCCTAGACAAGGCACTGAAAGAGACTTTGGACCAGATTCTGCTGAGCGGGTACTTTGACCGGATTCCATCTCACCAAAATGGAGTGTGTGAGGATGAAGAAGAGGAAGAGCCAGCAGCAGCAACAGCAGCAGCAGCAGCCGCCGCCGCCGCCGCCGCAGCAGCAGCAGCAGCAGCAGCAGCAGCAGCCTCCGCCGCTGCAGCAGCAGCAGTAGCAGTAGCTGAATCGTCAGAAGCAGAAGAGCAGACTGTTGATCCAGGTTCTGGTTGTTTTCCGAAGTCATGAAACTTGCTATTTTTAAAATGCTAATGTAATCAAGCAATAAAGAAATCAGCACAGTATTCTCTCTGAATTGTTTTTCCGCTTTACAGAAACTGAAATAATTGAGGAGTTCACAGAGCCCATTGCAGTGGAAACAACAGAGGTGAGAGTAATGCTTCCCTTGCCAGCAAAATCTCGGTATTATATTATTTTTTAGCTTTGTGCTGATGTTTGCTTTGTTCCTTCCAGTTTGTAAACAGACAGTTCATTCCAGACGGCACATACAGTGGCAGTGAGAAGGAGCAGGGGGATGAGTGGACCAGGGAAACAGAGGTATGCTGCAGGAAAGTTCAGATGAACTTCTCCTTCTTTGTTTATTATTTGACTTTTATTTATTTATTTATTTATTTTAATGGGACTGCATCCTAAAGGCAGTCTGTCCTTGAGCAACCCTTTGAGATGGGAATTAGCATATTGGAACATATATCCATCTTATCTTTAAAGGAACTTTACCCTAATCTAACAAGAAATAATTCAAGACCATTTTAACATCACTGAATACTGTGTAACATATCCAGTCAGATCCTTTTCTTGCATGACTTGGTCATATCATAGATTTGGAGCTTACTGAGGCACAGAGCATTTCCCTATGCTGCATGAGAAAGCATAATTGACACATTATGTGATATCTTAATTCAAACCATTTGGAACATGAGCGCAAGTAGAAGATGTCTCTTTCTCAGACAGCATTTGTTGTATGTAAAATATTTTTGCTTCTGTAAAAACTGCCACAACAGTATGGAACAAAAAGCTGTGAATGCACTTTGCTCAAAACAGCAGTGCATAGCTGAGTGACTGCGACTGTCATCATCATATCACACCTGCATCCTTTGTCTGTCATGTGAAAATTGGTGATGTGATATTCAGATTAGATTTGTCAGTGCATCATAGGATTATGCCTTTATTTGATAGTGACAGCAGAGACAAATATTTTCAAAACGGTTGAGTGTCAATTACAATCATTTTGGCACAGTCCTGTGGTGGTGGTTGTGATGGCAGCAGCCAAATGATCAGCAAGCTGCTAAGGCGATGATGTCCTTGAATAAATGTACTGTATGCTCTTTTATAGTTCACACAGTGTTCAGCTAACTATAGATACAATTAGGAACATTTGATGCCAACATTGACGCAATGCATTGTCAACATTTATATGTATCGTTTGTATCGTACACTTTGGTTTTTGTGTGCCAGTAACTCATTTTTCTGTCTCACTGTTGTGATCATTGTCAACATTAAATATTCAGTTACTCATTGTGAAAGATGATTGATTCACGTACTGTGATTCAAAGAAGTGAAACAATTAAACATATAAATATCCTTCAGGGAGTGGTGAATACATTTTACAGGCAGGTTACAGGATATGCAGGCTCTTTCTTCAATGAAGGCTCGGGCATATGCCTGAGCACCACCCTGTGATGGTATGAGCCCATGTGATAAGTGCAGCATGTGATTTGCTCTGACTAGTGCAGGTTTTTGCACAGAGGATTTCCCCTCTGTCATACTGGTCAGATTGTTAATCATGCTAAATTTAACATTCTGCCCATCCACCTGTTTCACTTGTTCTGTCTTTTTTTCCACTTTCAGGCAGTTGGTGCCTTGCAGCAGCAGCAGCAGCAGCCTGTGCAGCCTGCAGCTCCCCCCGTCGCCCTGGAGACCCACCCCATGAACCTAACGTCTCCTGCACCGCCTACTGACCCCATGGTCAGGAAGCAGGTGGTGCAGGACTTAATGGCACAGATGCAGGGAACTTACAACTTCATGCAGGTGAGTGTGGGTGTTGGTGATAGAAATGGGCTTGTTTAAGTTGAACCAGGGACTGAGCAGAATCTCTCATCTGCAATTGGTGCACAATGCATGCCAGTTACATTTGTGTCTGACCTGATCCTGGCTCATTCCGGCATCATGCAAACATAGACACTGATAATCTCACAAGATTAAGGGGGCTGTGGCTTTTGAAGCCAGGTGCCACAGTTGTTCTCCACAGACAGCATGGCCTCAGGGCATGATGGGAAATGCCTGATTCTCACTTGTCTAACAGCTTGTTAGTTCAGATGTTTGCTTACAATCTGATGTTTGATTGGAACTTTTCTTTTTTTGAATTACAGAGATTTATTGTTTTTTTATTTGATTTTTTTCTTCTGTAAAGGAAGACTTGTGTGGTTAATGGGGACGTTTATCTGGTCATAGAGACTGAAAAAAAATCACGTTACACCTTACAAACTGCACCCCATATATCACAGTTCTATATACGTGTATCTATATGTATAATAACATTGGACTGATTTAATTCTTTAAGTATTTAACAACACAAAACTTTCACATATGGGATGTGAACATTCTTAAATTTGTATCTTTACAGATGGTCTGGTGACATCAATAATGAAAGCTTTTTTTTTTCTTGCATTGTTTCCACTGTATTTGACTTAATGTTGTCAGTGTGTGTCTGTCTATATCACGCGAACACAATGCTGCTGTATATGAGACAGCATGTCAAAAGAAGGTTGAATCATAAGGAGAGGTTGCAAATCTAACCTGTATAGCACTTTGTTAGGCTAGTCTGTGATAATAATATATGGAGCTGATAACATTTTATGAGTCCGATCTAGCAGGATGTGAGCTGTAACTTCTTGTAGAGACTGAACGCTGCTGTTCGACTTTCCTGCAGCTTTTTGGCTCTGCCCCACCCACTGCTGCCACCTGCTCTCACCCACTTTCCAGGCGATGCGCAGTTTGTCTTAAACGAGCTACGTGACTGTTTTCTCCAGCTTGTGTAGCGTGGTACTAATTACTTCTGTTCTCAGGACTCCATGTTGGAGTTTGATGGACAGGCCATTGATCCAGCAATTGTATCGGCGCAGCCCATGAAACCTGCTCAGAACATGGACGTACCACAGATGGTTTGTCCTCCAGGTACGTTTTACAAAAAGAACCATTGTCATATCATTTGATGTGCAAGTAAGACAGACTTCATTGACAATTCTGCTTGAATAAAGTGCATTGTTCATGTTGTTTGTTTTTCAGTTCTCCCTGAGTCCCGGCTATCGCAACCCAACTCTGTTCCTGTCCAACCTGAGCCCACACAAGTGAGTATTTAATTATGAACAGACAGTGCTGATGGTGTAGACACCAGTAAGAAATCACAGAGTACGTGTTAAATTTCTGCTTTCTCCATTTACAGGTCCCCATCGTCTCCCCAACGCCGCCGCCCATGTATCAGACCTCACACACGCCAGATCCTCGACCGTCAACAGAATCCATTGACCCTATTCAGGTAAACATGCTGTGCTTTTTTTAACTTGGAAATTCTGGTCATTGTTTTATATATATATGAAAGAGTTTCTGTATTATAAGTTTGCAGACAGCAATCAAATTGCTATCACCATATATGACGTTTATTTAAGAGCAGTTTCTTTTAATCAAGCCAAAAAAAAAAACTGTACAGTCATGTTAATGCGACTTGTATCGTCCTTCTTCAACAGACCTCCATGTCCTTGTCGTCGGAGCAGCCTCCACCCTCTACAGCTCTCCCTCCTGCCTCTCAGACGCAGGTTTTCCAGCCAGTTTCCAAAGCTCCTCACAGCAGTGGCATTAATGTCAACGCAGCACCATTCCAGTCAATGCAGACAGTAAGGCTGTGATGACAGTGATAACATTTCCTGTTTTTTTTTTTCTCAGTTGGACTGATTAACCCTCTGAAACCCCAAGCACTTTCTGGGTGTTTTTTGCTCCTCAGTTTTACTTACCTTGGCTGCTTGGCTCATTTTTTACTACAATATAAATTTTTGCAATTTAATGGAAACAACACAACAGTGGCTAGAAGTAGAGATAAATCACAAATGTCTCTGTTCACCGTACCAAAGTTAGAAATCATAAAAAAGCTATAGTCGAATTTCTCTTGATTCTTTTTTTTTTTGTTTGTTTTTAACAAAAAAATGAAATCGGCATGTACATCATTTTTACAAAGGCCCAAAGGTGTTAACAACACTAAAACAAAAAAACATACAGAAGATAGATATTTTTCTACTTACTGTTTAAATAGTTTCCATCTTTGTCTCCTATATCTCTGTGTAAACACATCATTTCGCTAAGACTGTTGTTTGCAGCAATTCTTTCTGTTTTTCCAGTTTCTTGCTATGATAAATGGTGAAATGTTAGTGATTTTAAAACTTAAAAAGGAAAAAATTATTTAAAAAATGACATTCCTTTCAAAGCTGCAAGTTGGTTTTGGATTTCAGAGAGTTAAACAGTTTCCCATGTTAAAAAAGGATACTTGTGGTAAAACCAGTAAATCTGTAAAGGTTATTTCATGGCGCCCTCATCTGTGTGGCTGCAAATCTATGACTTTGCCAACTTTGCGCTAGTGTGTATTTGTTAGAAGAGTAAACTTGATGCTTGTTTCCTACATTGTGTGTTTGCACTGTAGTTCCCTTTTTTTGCACCTATGTAAGTGGTCACACGCTGTTTCCTATTGGGGTCAAAAAACTGTCATATTTTCTAGTGTGCATGTGAGGAACATATTTGCATACTCCTTATTGACTGTAATGTAGATAAAACAGCTGTTTGCAGCACACAGTGTGCATCACCGCCAGTGGAGTGAAAACAGAATTGCATTAATGACTTCAATTAGGAATTTCTGGTTAGGTCCTTAAGAGCCCTCTCATTGCATTGCAGTTGTATGGGTTTGTAGTAGAGTGGCTATATCCAGGAAATAGTGAGTAATGGACTTTGCTTCTAATGAGCCTGTGACCTTTCCTCTGCTTTTGCCTTCATCACAATGTGGTCTTTGTTCGTCCCTCAGGTGTTCAACCTTAATGCCCCAGTCCCGCCAGCTAATGAGACCGAGGCTTTGAACCAGGCCAGCCAGTACCAGAACAGCTACAACCAGGCCTTCAGCAGCCAGTCGCAGCATCCTGTGGAGCAGACAGAGATGCAGTCAGAGCAACTGCAGTCTGGTGGGCAGAATTTCAGCATTTCTTTTTTAATTACCTACTAGAGTGTGTCAGTGTTGCTTTGTGAAGGCTACATTCCTGTTGAACTCCATTTATTTAAATGTGTTATGTTTGACTGTCGAGATTGACTTGCGTCTGTTTTGGGGCACTCAACCTCATCTTTTTGCAGTAGTCGGTGCCTTCCATTCCCAAGACCAGTCAGGAGGCCATCAGCAGCCTTCTCAGCAGGGCCCAGGGTTTGGCAGGCAGACTCAGTCCTTCTACAACAGCAGAGGCATGTCTCGTGGAGGACCCCGCAACGCCAGGGGCATGATCAATGGCTACAGAGGCTCTTCGAATGGATTTAGAGGTACATTCACGCAAAATAATGGACTTGGTACGACAGTCAAGTTTATTATGTATATTGCGGGATTTGTCTGTCTGTTAAAGTGGTGACCAGGCAGTCTCTCTTTATAGAAAGGTCCACAATGTTTGTGCAATATTTGGTCGTATTTGGCAGTGCACAAGTTGTTGCCCATCAGCTATAGCATGCTAGCAGGGTTAGCCATGAAGCTGCACAGGCAGTGTGGAAATTTTATTAGAATTGACCTGATGTGTATCCTCGGACTGATGTCGTCAGAGTTTGAGCTTTAGTCTTCCTCCCAGCGCAGCCAGAACCTGCAACTTCTCTGCTCACGCTGTCAGCTCAATCGACCAAACTCCCACTCGCTTTTGTCCAAAGATGATTCCAATTAAGTTTTCTTCAAGTAAGACTGCAGTGTCCTCAGTGCTGGAAAAAAGAGAAAAAGCCAGCATTACTTCAGTAGTTCTGACATTGCACTGCTGTCTTGCACTGATCAGCCACAACCTTAAATCTGGTAAAATGTGTAAAAAAAAGATTCCCTTACGACAAGGCAATGGTCTGGTGGTAAATCTTAAATCCTGGCGTTTGGTTGAAAGTTAATTTGACATGTGATTCAGGATGCACTGTTACACCTCTAATATTTATTATTTGGCTTGTAAAAGGGAGTGGTGTTGAGTTGAAGTGTTTAATATTGAGGAAGGAAAGTTTTTCTGTTCTCAGAGGAACCAAATGTCATGCTGGGACGCAGTTCTTTCCTGTTTGCTCACACGTTGTATGTAAAGCATTTTGTTTAAGTAGGCATGGAGGAAAGTTGAATGGTGGCTGGGATTTTAATATTGGAGTTTCACAAGTTGTGTTATGGAGCTAGAAGGGTGGGGGGATGATAATTTAATAAAAAGTTAATTTGACACGGGAAAAATCTTTCAACAGCTTTGCATTAGAAGTGTTAAATACAGTTTGTAATGTATCATGCTTCCAAGAGAGTGAGTCAAGATAATATGTTGATCTTTTTTTGTGTATTTTGTCTCAATTTAGATTTGTTGCTTTGGCTGTGTTGGGGAAAAGTTGTTGGTGCTTGTTGACGCATAGAATTGCCATCACATTTACAGAATAACTTGCAGCCTTAAACAGGCCTAAAAGTTTGAGTTTATTTTATTGTTGCTCTCAAAAAGTGCATTCTAATTTTAGTCTTTTGTATTTCCAGGTGGCTATGAGGGTTATCGTCCTCCTTTCGCCAACACTCCAAACTCTGGATATGGACAGACTCAGTTCAATACACCTCGGGATTACTCAAATGGGAACTATCAGAGGGTATGACAGAAGCGTTCAGAGTCCCCACTGGATTTGTTGATGTAATCTTTGCTGTCTGTTGAAATGAGTTCTAAAAATGTCTTTGTTTTCCCTGTTGCTCAAGGATGGTTACCAACAGAACTACAAGCGCGGTGCTGGCCAGGGCCCCAGAGGAGTGTCGAGAGGCAGCACTCAAGCAATGCGATCCTGAGAAGGCCTTTCATAATGACTGTGACTGATTAACTTGCACCACACTGAAAATTCAGAATTCAAGAATGCATTTGCCCCAAGCTCACTCATGCTCTCTTTTGTTTGTTCTTCATCAGTGGTATTTTTCCTGTCTCTTCAATCAAAGTAATGCCTGCTTTGATATTTGGAAATATTGAATCATTTAAAGTTTAAAACACAAGCTAAGCTGTAAATCCAATCATTGATTACACAAGCCATGTGTTTCAATATTCCTGTAAACTTGAAAGATTTCATAAGTTATTTTTTTGTATAAAAAAAATGCACCTGCCACTGCTGGTCCAATCCTTGGGAGTTTTTTCTCTTTTTTTCCCCCCTTTCTCAGTTCTTTTCTGTCATTTTGGTTCTAAAGAAAAGCGTTTTATGTTCGATGAGCTCCCGTTTCCTTGTTTGTAAATTGATGTTGCTTCAAGAGTTTCAATAAAGTTGTGTTGCATACCCATGCTTCAGCCTTAAGTTCTTTGCTGTACAGTTAAATGTCACTCTCGGGGCAGAATGTGTCAGCCATCAAACGCTGTACAGCTGTAGACTATTCACTGTTGTGGAATTTAATTTACAGATTTTTTTTTTGTCATTTTGAAATTCAGTCATGTTTGTGATCTTTTGAGTTTGAAGGTTTTGCCATGCAGCCACTGTCAAAGGTAACACTATAGATCTATTGATGGCACTTTTCCAAATATTGACATGTAATTTTTGAGGACATGTCATGAGTTGGACTAAATGCATAGCCATAAATTCTGTGGTTTAATAGACAAAAAATGGCTAATGTACAAAACTACTGTTCACCATAATGCAGTTAATCTTATGTGACCAAAGTTTAGGTAACTTAACAGGACCTAAATGTTTGTTTCCCTTTAACCATTACAGCAGCTGGAGGGATCCAGCTGTTTTGTCAGCGTGTGATGCAGCACCACCCTGTGGCCACTCAGAGTACAGCTAGACCAAATGAATTCAATATTCTCACAATTTCCTGCGCGTTCGGCAAAAAACAGCTGCTGTTTGGAGTTAAAGCTTGTTTTGTTTATCATCACGGTCAATTTGTGATGCTTTGAAATGTAACCAAACAGTTGAAACGCCTTGCTTTAATAAGAGTCAACAGCTGAAAAGGAAGCTGTTTTGGAATATGCTCGATCAAAGTAATACATGTTGTGTATTTTGTCACAAATCAGTAACAGTGGCGAATGATTTTAATTCTCTGGGCTCCTAAAACATCCTCCTAACCACCATCTCCATTAGTTTACCTGTGGAAGTAAAGACCTGCATCTGACTTTAACCATCTGTTAACTCTTTTATTTATTTATGTATTACTTGCTTAATTGATCTACAAAGTGATATAGAATAAAGAAAAATGCCCGTCGCAGTTTACTTTTATTTCATTTGTTTACAACAGTTCTAAACCTAGTAGAAAATATTCAAATTTAGTAGGTTTGAGTTGTTTTTAATCTTGGCTTAAGATGAGCAAAACAATGAATCTGACAACAAAGTAGCTTCTGATCCTTATTCTCTTAGCTCTCATTAATGGTTTCCGTTATACACTTTGGGGAGTCAGAGAGCACACAGGTAAGCATGCGAGAAACTTTTTTTTGCAGACTGTCGCACTGTGATGACGTCACACAGGGGTCCTCCATGAACTGCAGTCTCCACGTGAGTGTATCAACAGCGTGATGGCCGGCGTGTAAACTCAGCACTTAACTTGTTGGGGTTCGCGAAGATTGAATGCTACACCGTTTACTGGCAACAGAAGGTAACCGGAACATTTGCATTTTTCATTTTGCAGTTTTTCTTTGTCGTGTTGTGCCCAAGTCACTGTCAGTTGTTGTGTTTGTGAGTTAGCTCCCCTGACAGCGCTGTGCGGGTGTAACTGCATCGTTTATGTCGCACTTATTACTCACATTTGCTTCTGTGTGTTATTGTGCTGGTTCAGACAAGTTTTCTGATATCTTTCAGTAACAGAAAGACAATGGCAACCGTCCGCAAGAAGGTAGACAATAGGATCCGGGTCCAGATAGAGAATGGAATCGCTTTGCAGCATCGGACCATGTTTGTGGTGGTGGGAGATCGTGGGAGAGATCAGGTAAACCCATCACCCACTTTTTAACTAAAGCAAATAATATGTGTTCGCTTCGATAGCCTTGCTTTAACTTTAAACATTTAAATGTGTCTCTGATTCAGGTTGTCATCCTCCATCACATGTTGTCTAAAGCTGCAGTCAAAGCTCGACCCTCTGTGCTGTGGTGCTACAAAAAAGACCTAGGATTCAGCAGGTAAATGTCTCTTATTGCATAAGAAAAGAGGAGGAAGATATGCTTGTGCATTCATGTATTTTGTATTTACTTACATTGCAAACTGAGGTAAGATTTCTTCTACTCTTTTGGAAATGCTTATGAGACAACCCTGCTGTTTTCTGTACAAATTCGACACAACAGACCTTCAGCAGTGATCATTTTGTTTGAATTTTAGAGCATCTTCTAAAAAGACATGAAAAACTACAATATAATTATTCAGTACATGCAGTAAATTATGTTTACGATATGATTTATTGAAACTGTAAAAATGTCAAATTCAGGAGAAAGTTGATGGTCTAGATGATCTAAGTTAAATTATCATTCATAAATGCCCAAAAGAAGAGAAATGTGAAATGATAAGATGACAACCATCTTGGTGCATTTTAAGAAGGGATACAGTGAGAGAGCCACTGGTAACCAGAGTTCATAGTGGTTTAATCATTTTTTCCAAAGCTATATAAGACTCCAGAGTTTTCTGATTTCACTTGCAAAGTTGCCTTTATGGTTATGTTTCTGCTTTATTGCGCAACAGAAAATCAAAAAGTTTATATCATTTTTAAAATGTGTCTGAAACAGCAATCGGAAGAAGCGCATGAGACAGCTGCAGAAGAAGATTAAAACTGGCACACTGAATCTGAATCAGGACGACCCGTTTGAGCTCTTCATAGCTGCGACCAACATCCGCTACTGTTACTACAACGAGACGCACAAGATCCTGGGAAACACCTTCGGCATGTGTGTCTTACAGGTAAGCGGTGAAGAGAGTGTATGCATATAAAATGTCACAGTCAGTACAAAAGTATATCTTTTGTATGATCTCTGCCTGTGTACCAGGGTTTTTCTTGGCTCCAAATGGGCCTTAGAGGGGTGATTATGCATGACAGTAAGCACAATCTGTTAACATACAGTACCAGCAATGAGTGGCAATGTGTTGATATATGCAGGTTCCTGTTATTTCTGACTATTTTGTAAACAAGAGTGTCTTTTGTGCACACACACACACACACACACACACACATTTATATATATGTATGTGTGTATGTGTGTGTGTCCTCAAAAAATGTTGTGTTGGAAAAGTCCTGTAGACAAGTCGGATCTAAGATTAATCTGAGAGATAACAAGAAATTTATCAGAATGCAAAATAAGTTTTCCATACAAACTGCTATTTATTTTATGTTTCCTTAAATTCTGGCATCAGTCTTTTCTCAACTTACTTACAGGTCATATGCAACCTGAGAGGAGGACTCACAACACATAACACAACATTAGTAAATGTGATGGGGTCACAATTGAAAAAGAGGCAACTAAAGCTGTAGATTTTTGCTTCTGTCACTTGTCACACAGGATTTTGAAGCTCTCACTCCCAACCTGTTAGCAAGAACTATAGAGACCGTAGAGGGAGGTGGTATAGTGGTCATCCTGCTGAGGACAATGAACTCTCTCAAGCAGCTCTACACTATGACAATGGTAGGTCTTCACTCTTATCTCCACACATCAGACTCATGTTGTCAGGTGACACAGGAACCAATGGACTTTGTTCTCTTCCAGGACGTTCACTCTCGCTACAGGACTGAGGCTCATCAGGATGTGGTGGGAAGGTTCAATGAGAGGTTGGTGCTTCTCAGGCCTTCATGGAGTTTGGAGCATTGTGTTCAATGGAATGAAATTTTGAAATTGAATTTTTAATATTAAATGTGTGTTTTTTTAGGTTCATTCTGTCTCTTGCATCCTGCAAAAACTGTGTTGCTATTGACGACCAACTCAACATCCTGCCAATCTCCAGCCACATGGCAAACATCAAGCCAGTCCCTCCAAAGACTCAGGTACCTGTGTTAGAGTAGAAAGCAATTAGTCATTTAACTGCTCAGCTAATCAACACGAAATTGACTGACAATAAATTTTATCATGGACAGTTAGTCTAAATCAAAATAATGAGAAAATTAAGGTTATGAAAAGTTTCTGCTTCTGTGTTTTCTGTCATTTTAAATGGAATATTATTGGTTCTTGGACTGTGGTTAAAAAAAAAACAAACAAGCAATCTGAAGAAGGTGCTATGGATTCTGGGATATTTTCTGGTCTTTTATGACATTTGCTTAAAAGTAGCTGATTTTTGACAAGAACAATATTTGCTATTTGCAACTATAATCTGTGCAAATACACCACAACAACAAAAAAAGCAAAAAGGAATATTCACAGCTTGTTTGTAATAAATAAATAAATAAATACATACATACATACATACATACATACATACAAACAAACAAACAAACAAACAAACAAACAAAAGTGACCACATATGAACCGGATCAAATATTCACTTAGTTTTTCTCTCCGCCACATTCCAATTGATTTTAAAAATGTGCAGTTATCATGTAAACTATCAGCCCAATAAGTGCACATTTAATTTGATAACTCATTATTCTGACTTTCTGACTACTTTTTTTTCCAATTAATTGTGGTGTGTGTTTAAAAAAAAAAAAAAAGAAAAGTTGGCTTGCTTGTGGGCGAGTAGCTCCCTTCTAACCAGTGTGACATCCCCTTCAGGAGGACGGTTTGTCTCCTCGAGAACAGGAGCTGAAGGACCTGAAGGAGTCCCTTCAGGACACTCAGCCAGTCGGAGTGTTGGTGGATTCCTGCAGGACCATGGACCAGGTCATGACCTCTTCAAAGCAACAGACAACATTCGCCACACATTTTATGAATGCATTTCTGATTTCAAGTCCCCTGGATTTTATAATTTGACGTTCATAAGAGTGTCTAATAAATGACACATCACTTGGCATCCTAGTTGTCATTCTGAAGGCCTGTGCTGTCCCTGTAGGCTAAAGCAGTGCTGAAGTTTATTGAAGCAATCTCAGAGAAGACCCTGAGGAGCACCGTGGCTCTGACTGCTGCCCGTGGTCGAGGAAAGTCTGCAGCTCTGGGGCTGGCTGTTGCTGGAGCTGTGGCTTTTGGGTATAGATTAGTTTTCTGATGTCGTAAAAGTATCAGTTTTGTCTCCTGTGTTGTTTTGTCCATCATCACCAATCACTGCCTGACTTTTTATTCACAGCTACTCCAATATCTTTGTAACCTCACCGAGCCCAGACAACCTTCACACCATGTTTGAATTCATCTTCAAAGGCTTCGATGCCCTGCAGTATCAGGTAGACCGTGTT